AAAAAAAGGTAATTTGCTGCAGTAGGAGAAGCCACGGTGGGTCTTGTTCCATATATAATAAATTACTTGTGCCTCGGAGTGCGCAGACAAAATGCAATAAACGTGGTCATTGTGCAAAGTCACGTGACATTTTTTGATGCACATCGAGTAATTTATTCAGTAAATGTGTTGCCATCATAGTTTATATGCATGTTTTCTTATTGGATAAAAAATGTATCCTTCTCAGTTGAGCGCATAAGTCTTTTTATGCGCATTTTTAGGATTTATGCGCATCTTGGCATTTCCATTCAGCGTTTATTTTATGCAATATCCCAAAATGCGCATAGAAATAAGTGGATGGAAACAGCTAATGAATGGCATTTTTACTTCTGGAACATGATTGTTGCATTCTATTGTACATAAAACCCTTATTTAGAGATGGGTGTGTTTATGCAAATTAGTAATCAAGGGTATGCAGTCTTTTAACATTAGAAAGTTAAAATCCAATTCATGTGCATAGTTTTAAATCTGGCAGAATTTTTTCCTGTGCGCACAAGTGTAACCCATGCAATTTTTAGTAAATGAGACCCAATGTTTAGTTTTGCCTTTTTTATGAAGACCTGTACAGGTGCATCTCAATAAATTAGAATGTCGTGGAAAAGTTCATTTATTTCAGTAATTCAACTCAAATTGTGAAACTTGTGTATTAAATAAATTCAATGCACACAGACTGAAGTAGTTTAAGTCTTTGGTTCTTTTAATTGTGATGATTTTGGCTCACATTTAACAAAAACCCACCAATTCACTATCTCAACAAATTAGAATACTTCATAAGACCAATAAAAAAAACATTTTTAGTGAATTGTTGGCCTTCTGGAAAGTCCCAAATAAATGAACTTTTCCACAACATTCTAATTTATTGAGATGCACCTGTATATGGTGAAGTTATTGTATGTATTGTATTATATGTATATTTTCTCAATTGCTCTGAATGAGAAAGTCCCCAAAAAGTTTCATCTTTCCTCTATTGTGGAAATCTCCTTTATGAGATGGTCCCATGTGCATGCAATTGTGAAACATCCACGAATCCATTAATGGAACCAGCCACTTCCATTCTCAAAGCTTGGTTAAACTCACAAATGGCGTCTGCTGAGAAACTCGTATGTGAATTTTCCGTTTCTTTGCAATGCCTGGTGTGTGATTCTGAGTGTTGCTCTCTATAGAGTTTCATGGTGGCTTATATTCCATTTCATTGTTCTTTCACAGAAGCAAATGCCCTTGATGCCACAGGTGATCTTTGTATGGAGTTTTATTGCGTTAGGCCACACAGCAACGGAATCTTGAGGAGGATATGGAAAATTTATATTTCCTGTTTACTTCCAGTCCTTGTAGTAGTCCACTCAAATGTGCTACATTACACACAAGGTCGTGGAGGTGGGCGATCTGGAGGAGGAGCTCTTCCTGGAGGTGGGGCTTGAGGAGGCGGGGGCAGGGAGGCAGGAGGAGATGGTGGAAGAGAGGGCAGAGATGTGGGCAGAGAAAAGTAGAGAGTGTTAGGAGACGAGGACCAGACAGGGGGTGGAGAATAGGATGGAGGAGGAGTGATGGGTGGAGACGGGTTGATGGCGTGAGGTGGGGGCGTAGAAGGCGCCGAAGGAAAGCCGGAGGACAGGGAGGCGGGTGGACTGCGTGGAGGAGGGGGCAGCTGGCCCTGAGGAGGGGGTGGGCTGAGGGTGCATGGAGGGGTGTAGACGGGTGAAGAATGGTGGTTGTAGGATGGATAGCGTGGAGGGAGACTAGACTTGATGCGAGTGAAGTTCATACAGCGACCCTGAGAGGGAAAGAGAAGACAGAACAAATTATTTCAAATGTAACACTTCTAAAGAAAATGCGGTGTGGTGATTAACTGTTGTCAAGGTGTTGCCATGTGGCAACTGACATGTTTTGAGTTTTTTTTTACCATGTTGCCATGAAATTGCTAGGGTGTTCTAGATAGTTGTCAAGTCATTTCTATGCAGTGGATAACATGTTTGAAAGTTTTTAGCATGTTGGGTTCTGTAGGTGGCTGCCAAGGTGCTGTTATGCATGTTTTGAGTTTTTTTTTTTACCATGTTGCCATGAAGTTGCTAGGGATTTGGCATTGTTGCCAAGGTGTTGCTATGTTGTAGCTGTTGTTAGGCTGCTGTGGGTGGTTGTCAGGGTGTTGCTATACAGTGACTAACATGTTATGAGGGTTTTTAGCAGGTTGGTTGGTTGCCAAGGTGTTGCTATGTTGTGGCTAACTTGTTTTGAGTTTTTTTTTTTACCATGTTACCATGAAGTTGATATGTGATATGGGTGGCTGTCATGATGTTGCTATACGGTGGATAACATTGTTCTGAATAGTTTCTAGCATGTTGCCATGCAGTTGTTAGGCTGCTGTGGGTGGTTGCCAGGGTGTTTCTTTTTTCTTTTTTAGATGTATTTTTTGTCAATTTTGCCTTTATTGGGAGAGAGAGGGGGACGGGATTGGGAAAGGACCGCGAGCCAGGACTCGAACTCGGGACACCCAAAGCGCAATGGCGCTATATGTTGGTGCACTGCCCACGGACTATCGGCACTGGCCAAGGTGTTTCTATACAGTGATTAACATGTTCTGAGTGTTTTTTAGCATGTTGCCATGAAGTTGCTAGGGTGTTCTGGGTAGTTGTCAATGCGATAGTGGTTGGCAGGGTGTTGCTAGGCAGCGTTGTGTTCTTCAGGAGTTTTAGCAGGCTGCTATGCGTTTGCTAAGGTGTTATGGCTAGTTCTTAGAGTGCAGCTATATATGCAGTCGCTAACATGTTGCAGTTGTTAAGGTGTTCTGTGCTAAGACATTGCTATGTAGTTCATAACATGTTCCAAGTGATGTTTAGCATGTTCCCATGTAGTTTCTAGGGTGCTCTGGGTGGTTGTCAGGGGTTGCTGTGAGGTTCTGAGTCTCTATGTCTTTGTTCACATTGCACACAAATTAAATTTCAGAGTCGTTTTTAAGGACTGACTGTCTGCGATGGCAACAACATAAGCATCAGCACAATGCCAAGAGATTCTGTCCCCCCCCAAAAAAATGTTGTATTTTTTTTTACTTGGATTTCAGATTGATTACGAAGAAAAAAAAGTGAATCAAATACGTCAAAAATATTTTTGCTGGGAATTAGTAAATCGAGTTGATATTTAAAGGTGTAGTATGTAATATTGACAGCTAGTGGTTGACATGGGTACTAGAGTACAAATTCAAAATATTGGAGAGAGTTTTGCTTGTTTTTTTCCCATCATGTAGGTCAATGTGGCAGATGAGAAATGTGTGTTATGTTAATTGACTCTAGTTCTGATGAAGTGAATATGCCAGGAATATTAGTCTTAAATCTCCAAATGCATGTGGTTGGGAAATGGGCAGCAAACATGATGGACTTTACCGTCAATAAATAACATGACAAACATAAACTCAGAGGCAGACTGCAGTGCTGAGAGGTGTGCTGGTCTTTCTGTCTGCTATAGCTGTAGGACGCTATAAATGCCAGACAAGTTTTAATGATACACAGAGGAAAGGCTAGTTGTTGGTAGTTTACTAGAAACACTTATGGAAAATTAGAGAACTCTCTGTCCCAATTTCCTGTCAACTAATGAAGAACTCCTTCGCTGGCCCCAGGAAAGACACACACACACACACACAGTAAGAGTTCATGCAGTTAAGAGCTTTTAATATGTATTGTAATTAAGAACATCAAAGGCTGAAAAGATTTGGTATGTATAGCTCTGTAAGACAAAATAAGGTTACAGAGACCAACTACTCATAGAAAAACAAACGGAAGAAATCGCAATAGCGATATAAATGTGGAGGAACAGAAGACCTGGTTTATGGTTTCGTTTGAGTTAAAAGAGCCAATCACATGATTTGGTTGCCTTGGAATGTGCATGAATAATAATAGTTGGTCCTGTCAGGAATGAGTGGCTAAATAATTTAGGCTAAATAACCTTCTTTTTTATGCATAACTGGGTTGCCATATTTTATTTGTAGTTTGACATATTAATATATACTCTTGACAAAAAGTTACAGAGATGTCAGTGTTTCAGTAGATGAGGTGAATTTTCATTTTATGCCAACTTCAAAGGGACTTTGGAAGTTAAGATAACACTTTTAATCAAACCATTATTAACACAATATAAGTGCACATAATTATAATAAATTGGCAACCTGTCAACTTAAAAAAAAAGTGTAGAAAATGCTTCAAATATTTTAAATACAGGTTCTGCTGAGATATTTTAATTGTTAAAAATTGTTTTGTGTGTTGAATTACTGTCTGCAGAGAGACAGACAATTTAAATTTAAGATCAGTTTTTATCAGAATTTTGCCTATTCTTTTGCTTTTTCAGTTCATTATGATTTTAATAAATTTTAGTGTTTAATTTTAGGGACATTATTGATTACTTTTATATAAACAATTTTTTGTAGGGTGCACTATGAAATCTAGGGCCTGAAGCAAAACCAACTGAGAACCAGCCCTCTGCTCCATCTCTTCCTTCATCTGAATTAGCTTTATGTCAGGGTTTTTTCCCCCCCCATTTAGTCTGTCTTCACCTATAAGCACAAATAAAGGGAATGTCAACTCATATACATGGTTTATTTTACCTAATCTGGCATCCTGATATTTTAAATGACCATATAAATTAACACACTTTCTACATTATGAAAACTGGTCAAATTCAAAAGCTTCTCTCAAAAGATAAAACAGCGAAATTCCTAATATTAATTCCAAATAATATCCATGTTTTTCTATTAAACCAACAACAAAAATTGTGTACGTGCTTTTATTCAGCAAACAAAATTACAAACAATAGTTGAGATCCACGTTTGGATTTAGTTCAACACGGACTGGCTGTATTACACTTTCATTTGAGCAGAATATCTCAATGGAAATCCCTAAACTCCAAATGTAGATGTTTGTCGATGTTTTTTTTTTTAGCTCATCAGCACTTCTTCTGCAGGGTAGAGGGAGCAAATACACGTTTGCCAGGTTATAAAGATAAAAACACGTAAAACACAGGGCAGAAAATGTGTCCTTTTAAGGGAAAAGCTCTGATAGGGACTCTTGACATCTGGCAACCCCAAGCATTAGGTCTATTTTTTTCTCCTCTTTTTTTGCTGAAGAAAATATATAGAGATTTTGGATATAGAGAGTTTTATAGTCTAATCATGGGAAACGCTGCAAAGTATGGTGTATATATTTAGTCATAGTTTTATTTTGTCATATTTTTCCGAACACTGTTACTTTGGTTGTGCCTTCATTTCAGAAGGTTCATCTAATCTAGCAGACGCATGCAAACTTCTCTCTGTCTCCACACTGTCTCTCTCAGCAGTAGTCGGGACAGCAGCCAACTCTAGTTTCTTTTTAATTTTACAGTCGCCAGACCCTACAGTTTTAATAAGAACATACCTCCAACTCATACCGCCTTCTGTAACTGCTTAAATCAAAATTCCTCTTCCTCTGTTAAATGTCTGGTCTTCATTCCCAGACTTTTGTCTTCTGCTCAGCTCAAACTGTCTTATTGTCACCACTTACTCAACTTCAGAGTTCACAGAAAAATGACAAATCAAAAACCTAATTATACCTTCCTGTTGAAAAGGAAGTATTGATGTTATTTTATCAGTGCACATGTTAGACATATGTGCAGACAACAGGATAAGATTTATGCGCACTGCATCCACCATAATAATGCATCTTTGGCATATATACCACTCTGGGTTAAAACAGGCTTAAGCCGGAATCAGTAACTTTCAGAGAAAAAATATTTCCATTATCTAAAACAAAAATGAAAACAGGAGTTTCAAAAAAAAAAAAAAAACTTGAAAAAAATAAATAAATAAAAAAATAAAAAATATATAAAATTGAACATTTTATACATTTAAACATACACATCTCCTCTAAAATACACACATAAAAAAAAAAAAAAAAAAAAAAAGACACCCAGCAAAATTATTAACAGTAACTAAAATGAAAATGGAAAAACAGCATTAAAAGATATTAAAACGGATTCAAAATATTGGTAAAAACTATAATAGTATTTCAGTGATACTAAAGTAACCCTAGTCAAAAAAAAAAAAAAAAAAAAAAAAAAAAAAAAAATTATATATATATATATATATACACAAATGAACTATTACAATTTAAACTAATATTAAAAATAAATAAATTAAAGGAAAAAAAATAATTTTTCCAAGGGTGCGATAACCCTGACAGGGACATACTGATCTTAAATGTCAATGGTCTACAATGTAAATGGGCAGTTTAAATCTGGAAGTTATTATGCATCACTGTACAGCTCAGAAAAATATCATCTGCTTGTAATTAGCAACAGATTCATGCTGCTCAGTGATTTTATGTATATGTAACATCAACTTGACCACACTGACTAGTTGGACAAGCATTTGGCAGCAACTTGCATTAAAGCTAGTTAATGTCCCTTTTTGTTTTCTTTTTTGAAAACGAAAGATGTCTTGATCCACTCAAAGCTCGACAGACATTTACACAGTTGCTATGCAAACCAAAAGACACAACCACCGAACTCACGTCACGCTAAGAATCTGGGTCAGACCCACCAATGCTAGAAATTCCAATCGACTGACACACATTCACTGAGTGCTGACTGTGTTTTTGGTAAGTGACTAAATTTACTGGGTAACACTTAAAGTTTCAGTTGTTAACATTAGTTAACATGAACTAACAATTAAAAATACTTCTAAAGCATTTATTATTCTTATTTAATTTTTATTTCAACGTTTATTAGTATTTATTAGGACAAAATAATATTATT